CACCACACACATATGCTGTAATAAAGTTGGCCCCGTTCATTTGGGAAACACCTTACACACAACCCTACTTTTCAGTTTGAAGGGGAGGGAATACCCTATAGGGTTAACTGAAAATTCATCTGTTGCTCAGTTTAGCAAGAACACAAGACTTACTCGTTTAAGGAGCAGCTATTTTCATTGAAAGATCCTCTTCTTGGGCTTGGTCCCTTTCGTTCGGTAGGGTGAGTATGTGATCAGACTTCAACTTTCGTTCCGGTTTTCGCGCATCGCAAGATTCTCGGGGAATCATTCCCCTTCCTTCGCTGCTTTCGAGCTTTCGGCCGCGAGAGGCGCTTGTGAGGGTCGTGGTCGAATTTAACTGCGCCCGTGCGATTGGATGTGAGGATGGAATACACCCGCGGCCGACAACAACCACCGTCGTGCAATTGCTAAATACAGATCGCGACTTCCATCCGGGGGAGTCCCAACTGCCTTGTGTCATGTTGGCAGCAGCGAAGAGCGTCGTCGTCTGCCCCAAACACGTTCGAGCTGGAGCAGGCTGTGTGTTGTTTAATGATTTTCGCTTTGCTAGCAAAGCAACCCCAGTAGCAATGGCCCTTATTGATACAGAGTTTCCTGTATCTGCCCTTTTGCCAAAAAAGGAAACCGGCGTGACGTCCTTTTTAGCCAAGTATCCTGAATACGATGGCCGAGGTATTACCATCGCTATACTGGACTCGGGAATTGATCCCGGCGCTCCTGGGCTGCAGGTGAGGTTATGGTGGTATACCGCTTGTGTTTATTTGGAGATGTCAAAGGTTTCGGAAACATAGAAATTGTGTCTCTTTTCAATGTTGTAGGTAGCGTTACGATCACATACCTTTATTTTTTCACGGTTTTGGGCACTTGTTCGTAGGGCAGTGATATTCTCATATCTAGTTCGTCTGACATTTCTTGATATGCGGTATTATACTACCTCACAAGCGATACAATTCACAGTGCTTGTTCTCAAATCTTGTCCGACACTTTTTATTTGAAAGATCACTCTACCATGTTTGAAACTTACCCCTATTGCGGCCGGCTTTTATTCTTAACCTATAAATTTGGGTGACTTTTCATATATGCTGTTTGGACTCTTTGTTTGACACACTTTTTTTTTCCACTTTTTCAGGTCACTACAACTGGGGAGAAAAAGCTGGTTGAGGTATATGATTGCAGTGGAGCAGGTGATGTTGACATTTCAACAATTGTTAAAGTGAAAGATGGTCAAATTGTTGGTTTAACAGGGAGGACTTTAAAGGTAACATCATACCGAGTTTTAAATCTTACCTGATTGTGTAGAACGTTGCAATATATCACCTACCACCTTTCTAGATACCTACCACATGGAAGAATCCCACAGGGAACTATCATATAGGTGTTAAAAATGCTTATGAACTCTACACATCTTCGGTCAGGGAACGTATTGCCAAAGACAAGAAGGAAAAGCATTGGGATCCTGCTCATAAGCTTGCAGCTGCTGAAGCTACTAGAAAATGCAGGGTAAATTGATTTATCTGCACTCTTTCTATAATTTTTAGATGCTTTCAATATTTAGGAACTAATGAATTCACTTTTGTTCAGGAGTTTGAAAAGGAACATCCTCAAGAGTCTAGCATGAAACCACTTGATAAAATGATATCTGATGATCTTGAAGCCCAAGTTGAGGTACTGACAGAAGCAGATAAGAAGTATTCTTCCCCTGGACCTGCTTATGACTGTGTTGTTTTTAATGACGGTGATGTTTGGAGGTAATAGTCTATATTTTACGTGATTGTTATGGTGTAGTTCAATTCTGAATTTGAGTTTTTATTAATCCATATTTCACTATTAGAGCGTGCATTGATACCTCCTGCTCTGGTGATCTGGCATCATGCAAGGTAGTTGGAGAGTATAGCAAGACCTATGACTATGCTCAACTCACACCCTCTGATCAATTCAACTATGCTGTAAATGTGTGGGATGAAGGAAAAATCCTTGAAATAGTGGGCATGTGCTGTAAGTACCTGTCATCAACAAATTCTTACTTCTACTCTGCTAGGCTCGAATGGGGGTAGATAGCCTACTGAAAGGAAATTTGATCTTCAGCAACTTGTTCAGCCCCCCCACCCCTCTCGGTTGACCCTTACTACGCCCCTGCATTCTGCCTGTATACTGAACTTTTCAAAAAATTTCAGCAAGCCATGGGACCCATGTGGCAGCAATTGCAGCAGCAAATTTCCCAGATGAGCCTGAAAAAAATGGTGTTGCTCCTGGTGCCCAGGTTATTTCATTATGTATTGGTGATTTACGTCTCTCTTCAATGGAGACTGGAACAGCCATGACTAGAGCCATGATCAGAGTAATACAAAACAACAAACGAAAAATTCATGTTATGAATATGAGCTATGGAGAACATCCCCATTACTCCACATCTGGGTTTGTGTGACTTTTAATATCTTTAATTTTGACTGTAACAACATAAAAATTTATTATTAATTGTAAGAGTTGTAACCCCTTTTTCAGAAGGGTCATTGATATGATCAATGATGTTATTGATAAATATGGGCCTGTGTGGGTATGTTCTGCTGGAAATGAAGGACCAGCACTTAGTACTATCAGCACACCACCCAATGTCAATGCTAATACACTAATTGGTGAGTTATTTATTAATAATGTACCTAGTTTTGACATCAGCATACAGCTTTACTCTTTGATAAAACTTCCCATGACAGATGTCACAGTATCTTTTTTCTCCTGCTCTTTATCTTTAACTCTTCCCTGTGACTGTGTTGTGACAGGTGTGGGAGCGTATGTATCTCCTGAGATGATGGTAGCTGAATATTCTCTTCGTCAGAAGCTTCCTGGCACTTCAACCACATGGACCTCAAGAGGACCAACACCCACTGGAGATCCAGGAGTAAATGTTTGTGCACCTGGTGCTGCTATTACATCTGTTCCTCAGTTTATGTTGCGAAACTGCATGCTCATGAATGGTACAAGTATGGCATCGCCTCACGTTTGTGGTGTTGTTGCCTTGCTGCTTTCGGGAATGGTGCAACGCAATTTGCCATACACTCCGTACTCTGTTAAAAGAGCTCTTGAGAACTCAGCTCAATTCATAGATTCACAGGATAAATTTGGACAAGGAGAAGGCTTGGTACAGGTACGTGTGAATAGATTTCTTTGTGCCTCTTTAATCATGTAAACTAGCATAATTTTGTTGTCTTAAACCAAATTTAAATCTAATAGGTGGAAAAAACTTTTGATCATTTGGCTACATATCACAATCAGCCAGAGAGGAATGTCCGTTTCCATTTGACTTGTGGCAATCAAATGATGAGAGGTATTTATCTTAGAGATGCTTTTCGAGACAAACCTGAGGATATAGTTGTGAAAGTTGATCCAGTTTTCTTCAAGAGCTCCAGCTTAGGTATTGCATAGTTTCAACTCTCAAACATGTTGCTGCACATCTTAATCTGACAATTGTTTTATATGAGTTTCTTTATATTAATTAAATTAACTATTTGTCTTTTAGAGTCTTATCCTGAAAGGACAAATTTTAACATGAACCTCATCCTTACGTGTGATAAACCATGGGTCTCCCACCCTTCTCATTTATGTTTAATGAATATGTCAAGAACCATCTCCATTCGAATTGACCCAACCAGTCTGCCTACAGGAGTGCATACAACAAGGTAATCGTACTCCGTGCTCACAACTGTACTTTGGTATCATGATTACATGTTCTGACTATGATCTTTCACTGATTTTTGCAACAGTGTAAAGGCCTATGATTCATCTTGTGTGGAGAAAGGACCAGTGTTCCGCATTCCTATCACCTTAGTGCAACCACATGTGTTCCCTGCTGACCAAGAGAAAAAAGAACTTGTTTTTACTGATGTTGTTTTGAAACCATCCCAAATGCAACGCCACTATATATTAGTTCCAGAGAATGCTACTTGGGCTGGTATGTGAAAGTTGAGTTATCTGTCATTGCTTGTGCTTTTTGTGTTATTAATATGAATAATCTAGTTACATTAGTCAGACAATTTGCTTGGATACTACAAATTTTACCAACATTCTTATTGCCTTTTTCACAGTTATAAAGTTGCTTGCAAATGATAAATGCAATGTAAGACTTCATACGCTACAGCTCAGACCAAGAAAAACAAGCAAGTCTAATCAGTACCACAAGTCTATTCAACTGATTCCCAGCATTGAATCAGTCCACAGTTTTGCTGTTAAGGTATGTTGTTGTTCCTTCCAAAAATTCTTAAAAGAATGCCTATGGCCTAATTTTACGGACTTTATATTTTAGGGAGGAATTATTATGGAAGTGGTAGTGGCGAAATTTTGGACCGATATGTCAGAAAGTGGCCTTAACTACTCAGTCACATTTCATGGAATCAAACCTGATCGGTCTGATGTCATCATGCAAGCCACACAAGGAATTCTTTCAATGGATTTGTACAGTGGACCAATTTCAGAGGAATTAGCCCCAAGTGCTAGCCTCAGAGCTGTGGTATCTGTTTGCAAGTAAGCCCTAACCCTTTCATTTTCAATCACACTGTTTTTTAACAAATTTGGCATCACAAGGTGGCTTTCATTCTTCTATTACTTTTCAAATACAGTACCTCTACACTGAATGCTCTTACACAAAAGCCTTTACAAAATCTAGAGCACAAATGTTGTAAATGTGGACCATCAAGAAATATTATAATGTTCTTATTTTTTGCAGGCCAATTGATGCAAAGGTTGGAGTTTTATCACCTGATCGTGACATGATTCCTGATGGCAGACAGATCTATGAACTTCAGTTGACTTACACGTTCCAAATCAAACATGAAACTGATGTGACTATCTGCTGTCCGTTTTTGAGTCATTTGCTGTATGAATCTGAATATGAAAGTCAGTTATGGATGCTGTTTTCTTCTTCAAAGAAATACATCTGTAGTGGAGATGCATATTCCGACTCAGTAAGTATATTAATCTAAGCCGTCTTTTTTAGTATTATACATAAATTTTTTACTGTTGTATTTCTGTTTTGTTTCAGGCCAGTTCTATCAAGCTGGATAAGGGAGAGTACACTCTTCGCATGCATGTTCGCCATGAGCGGAAGGATCTGCTTGAAAAGCTTAATGATAAACCTATGTTAGTTTCCCAGAAACTTTCTTCAGTGCTTACGCTAGATATTTATGGAACAGAGCAGGCTGCGATTACTGGTGGACGGCAGCTTTCTGGCCATGTTTTGCACAAAAATCAGATTTTACCTGTATACATTGCACCTATCACAAATGACAAGTAAGTTAATATGCCATTATTAGATTATTAGTATTTTAGTTCTCCTTTTCCTCTTTAACCTAGTTACTTTTATTTTTACTTCAGGAAAGATAGAATTGCAAAGGCAGCTTCATTGGGGCAATATCTCTCAGGCTCCATCTCCTATGCTAAGGATGAGCTTGGTAAAAAAGCATGTGTCTACCCCCTTCGTTACATTTTGCCAGAAATAACGAAAAGCAGTAGTTCATCTAACAAAAGTTCGTCAGCTGAAAAGGAGGTTAAAAATGGTGCCAGTTCTATCACCCTTGGACCAGTGATAAGTACATCTGCCATTGGAACCTCTGAGCCTAGCACCAGCTCACCATCAAAAGACAGCAAAGATAAGTCAAAAATGAAGGGTGAAGATTACAATGAAGCCCTTCAGGATTTCAAAATTGGCATTCTTGAAAAACTTGGTGAGTATTAAGATATCCTGCCCAGACAACAGAGAGTGTTCTTATTTTTGCCTTTTGAGGGCCTGTATTATATGGGGGAACTATCCTGATCTGTTATTGATAACAAATGCAGTCTCTGAACAATCCCTTATTCTTTTGCGTCCATTTCTTTTATCACTTTTTCAGAGAGGGGTGAACATGCAGATGCATTGTATGAAGAACTTCGTGCAGCAAATCCACAAAAATTATCCATAGCAATGGCTATGTTGAAGAATTTGAAATCCTCCTGGGATAAATCACCATACCCCATAATGGGAGATTTGACAGCACCTTGTGGAGATCCAGCCCTTCTTAATCGAGTACTGACTTTAGTTTCCCACATCATTGAAAATGCAGATCAAAATGCTGTTCTTGCACATTATGGAACAAAAGTAGACCTGAATTCCGATGCAGCTAAAGTGAAGAGGTGAGCTTGATCCTAATATTGTTTTTTGGTGTGAGTGCATTTAAATTTGAATGTTGGAAGTTGATGTATCTTTCCGATTATTTTTTCAGCCATTTTGATCAATTGAAAAATACTATAATTGAGGCATATGTTGCAAAGGGAATTGTCCTATGTTGTCAGTATCTGCTCAATTCAGACCTTGAGAAAGACTCAAAAGAAATAAAGGACAAGGCTGCAAACTTAGTAGAAATTGATTGTGTGAGGCGCGAACTTTTGAAATTTGTGGATCAAAAAGATTCAACTGTAAGTACATTTTACATAGTAATTTTTCAGGTGCTTAAGATCAGATTTGCTTGAAATGTCATTAAAATTCTCAGTGTAGTTGCTACTCATTCTTCCAATACTTATTCATATTGTTTTATTTTGCAGATTCAGATATTCTTGATGTGGCATGCAGCCCTCCACGGCTTTTTAGGACGTCTTATTAGATTGATTTTAAATTGTTCAAATGAGAAACCTTCAAAGGAGTTGGACCGTGCTTTGGTTGCTGCATTGAGGTCAAATGGTTGGGATTATTGGGCAAATCACATTGAAGAAAGCTCACATGTTCGCTTCCCTCTTTCATATAGATTGTTTTAAATTGTGTGAGTGTTTGAGTACATATAAATATCTATCTAATCTTTATATATATGTTTATGAGGCCTGAATTACGGTATCAAGAAAACTGAATAAAACTAATCATCAACACATAGTTTGTGAAAATGTTTGCCGAATCAATGCATCTTTCTCTTCAGAATATTTAGGAGGAAGGCTATGCCTGACTATTCTCCCATTAAAATATGACCAAAGAGTTGTGTGAGTATTTCTGTAGGCCCAACTGATAAAGGTGAATTGGGACCATCAAAAAATTATAAATGCAATTATTTTAAGAACCTAAAAGAGTTTATTTCTAACATTTTGTTGTAAATCAAGACCACATAAAAATGGATGGATGGGTGGATTTGTTGATTTATTTGTGGGGTACAGCAACTTAAATCAACATAAATACTGTGTGTTGTGTGTACGGTATCTACGGTCTTTAAAAAAAAAACATTTTTCAATATCTAAAATTATTTTTCTGGAATGTGACTTAAGCTATAAAATTGTCCAAATCTCGAGGGGGAAAAAAATTGTATCCATGTAAGTTTTAAGTCAGATTAATTTACGATTAGAAATTCCCTGAATTCCTCTCACTTTTGTGTGGACAAGGGTTACCTTGCGAGTTAAGAAATGTATCTGTAAGTTATTATAATCTGCTTTCTCAAGGAAAAGCTCATTATATATAGTATATCAGTATATCATTCAAATGTGTTTTCTTTCTACTTTAAAGACATCTGTTCCAATTTTGCACCTATGAACACATCATCCCTAAGTTGTATGTTTAAAGTTTACTTCCAACTGACTGAAAACCTGAAATTTTGTTTGCTGATTTGATTGTGTAGGCTAATGTATTGTACCTACATAATTGTCCATGTATGAACAGACTTGTCTATGCTATATAATGTTTGTTTTCCTGGAATGAAATAGAGACTTTATTATTACTATTTTAAAATTGATCTAGTATTTGCAAAGCATTCAGTTATGACCTCCGTGAAAATTTGTCTTGGTTTGAAATTTCATTCCTAAGACCTTGTCATTAGCCTTTCTGATAACTTCAGGAAATGTTCAGCCTCACAGAATTTGCCTCAGTTACATTTTCCGTATTAATTACCAAAAATACTCTTTAAGAAACTAAAATGGCTGGCCGGCCGTTAACGAGACAGTCTAGCTCCAAAAGCAAACTCGAAATATACTGGCGCAAATGCAAAGAACTTTTATCTTGAAATTCAATAATGCGTAAAAAAAAATTACTGAAAATCTGCTGATCAAAACTGGTACTTAAATTGGCAATATCCAAAACTTAAACAGCAATCTTTATCTTAACAGAAAACTTTTCCCTTCAGGCAGAGACAGCCACAAGGGACTGTCTAAAAATTTTTTTTCTGAATGTCACACTTTCCCCTTGGGTTTGGGCAAATAGTTAAATATCATGATCCTTTCTTTTATGATTCCAACAGACATCACTTGCAGACCATGAAATTTGTTCGTGAGATTGTTGTGCGAGGGGTGAATCACTTCTGTACTCCTAGTTGTACTTATTTCTTATTTGTGCTCATGGTGTACTCATAGTAAACTTATTGTGTACTCATTCCTTACTCTTTCCGTTTTTGCGAGGTAGGTACTCGCCATGTATTCACCGTGTACTCATCCTACTCAACTGTATTCACCCTGTACTCTGTATGTACTCATGTGTACTCCAGTGTATACATGAAAAAATCAATAAGTGATTCATCCCTCGCGGAACTGTGTCATCTAGAGGTACCCTATGAGATAACGACCCCACAGCGAGCCTGCACGGAGACCTAGCAGACGATCGAGCTTTCTGCCGCCTCGCTGCCCAAAAT